TGGTTTTGGGATGGTCAAGTGAACGATGCCATCCAAATGTAACAACTATAACTAGAACATCCTAGAACCTAAGACTCTTTGATTCTGTTTTGTCTCAAATAGTTAGTTTATTGCAGACCCCCTAAAGGAACATAAGGCGTTTCGGCCTCTTCAATATGGCTCCCCTCGAAGGGGCCTTACCAGTACCAAAGAGGCCCAAAACATCTTCTCATTTGTTCCTTTGTTGCTAATAGCTTCTTGTTCCTAGCAGTGAGAATGCTCCTAGTAGCGATGCCAGGAGCCCCTAGTAGCGTCCTTGCTCCTAGTGTTGACCGCGAGCTCTCAGCCCAAGGGCTCGACCGTCTCAGGCGCCATCCAGTAGGGCGTGCCCACCACCCGGCGCTTGGAGCTGTCGATCTCCGAGAGCTTCGTGGCCACTCCGAAGTCTGCCAGCCTCAAACGTGGCCAAGCGAACAAGCTGGAGACGATTGGAGACCACAGTGACGCAAGTGAACTAATAGTTTATGATGTTGATCCAAGATACCTTCAAACTCACACCGCCATCTTCTTCAAGTATCTTCAAGTGGGAGGCAACTCTCAAACCACGAGCCAAAGAGACATTATGGGCCGTATTATTGTACAATGTTCATAAAATGGCCCGCACATCCGCTTGTTTGATCTTAAAATATCTTAAAGTAGTTGCCTTGATTCAATTTGAGTAAATCAGTACTCTAAGCAGTGGGACGTCCCCCTCCAAGAACTCAAGGATACTCGAGGCTTGGCTGAAGCTCCAAGGGTTGGGAGGGTGATCCGCTGCACTGTTGGTAGCTGTGATTCTTCAAGGAGGAACCTGGAAACTATCGCAATATCTCTGAATGTGATTCGGTGACATTCTGTTTGGACATTTGATTGCCTTGTGGGTTCCAAGTTTGTCATCTCTCTTTATGGATGTTGCAAAAGTATTAGGCCAAGTGGCCAAGCACATAACTACACTGTCATCATGGTTGATCCAGGCCGCTTGATGGTTCCCGTCTTGGTGCTCAAGACATTCGCGCCCTGATGAACAAAGTGGACGAATCGGATGGATGAAGGAAGCGATGATTGAAGTAAGTTGGAACAGTATGTTGCGCAGTGAACGGATGTGCCATTGAGAACATCTTGCGCATCTTTCCAAGAAGGAACCGGAAAATCACCTGGAGGCTTCAGGAGCCTTCAACGCTTCATCTTCGTTTTGTTGCCCCGATGTGAACAGGCGCGCCTTGATGTCGCGATGGATGACCCCCTGGGAGTGTAGAAACTTCAAGCCTTTGAGAATCCTTGGCTTGACGGCATCTACAAAGGCCCAACCATAATGACAGGCTGTTTCGCGAACTTGACTTAACATGTCTGGGCTAGCCAACAAACAAATTGAAAGACTAGCTATGTATCGACTCGACCGGTTTTTGGGAGCTATTCATCCACTGGCATTCAGCTTGACTCCTCCCTCAGCATCTCCTACTCTGCCGAAGGCGCTGAAAGGTGTAGAGCGCACAAAGGGACTCAGGAAAGGCACCAAACCTTGGTCGAGGACACTAGCCAGGCAAGTTGAAGATTATAAAATGCTCACCAAGATTGTATAAGCAAGTGCACATTTCTTCAGAGGTCTTTCTGGATGCCTCCTGCAGACTGAAGTTGGGAGTTTTGCAAACATTGATCTCATTGACCTAGGAACTTCTTCAAGATGAAGGCAATGGAGCCGCCCTCCACGTACGCCAAAATGATGTTCAAATGCGTCTCAGTGCCTAGACACAAAAAAGGGCAAGTCTATATAAACCAACCTGCGACTGCGTGGCCCGACGTCCAAACAACATCTTGAAACCATAAGAACACGAAAACCACAACAAATCTCTTAAGCACTCCCAAATTGCGGATGGAGTGGATGTATTTCACGATGTTCTTGTGCTTCCTGGGGCGAGCAGGGAAGCAACATGCGGGGTGGTTAACCAAAGGCCAATGTGATGGGATCTTCACATGGGCAATCAACACATGTTTAACACGTTTAATATTCCCAAAGGACTCCCTGCTTTGCAGGTGATTGATCTCCCAAATCCATGCTGGTGATACCATTTTCTCCCAGGTTTGACCCTGCAACCGGACGACTTTGATCTCCGCTTTGATCAAGCACCAAAGTCGTGCTTCAAACAGGCCTCCAACCTAGTAGCTCCTTGTTACTAGTAGCGATGCACCTGTTCCTAATAGCGATGCACTTGTTACGACCAGCTTCTTGTTACCTAAAAGGCAAAACACGCACCTTTTCATTCACACCATTGACCCTCCCAAAAATTGGACGATGGGGTCTACAGAGCTGTCCACGAAAACGATCACTTTAGGGCAAGATTTTACGCGTAGCTTCTCGTTCCTAGTAGCGATGCCCTTTGCTCCTTTAGTAGCTCATTTGGGGTTGAACTTTCTTCAAGCTGTCGGGTGGGAGAAATGGATGCTCCAATCTCCATAATTCTCCGACGTCTCGAAGTTGCTCGATCTTGATCCCGTCTTTTTGACCTATGAACCAGGAGCCGGTGAAGGTGAAGATGGTGAAAGGGTATTTTTGAAGAAAACCTGCGGACTGAGTGTGGTGAGTAACATGCGATTGGAATTTGGACACACCTGCGGACGTGGACGCAAACGTGGACGTGGGGGCTGTTGTGGATAAGGTAGCTGAAATGTTTGGACATGTTTGGACCAAAGAGAACCTGGCCATCGCTATTAGGTTGGAGGCCATCGCTATGAGGTTGGAGAACCTGTTTTCTGCTTATTCCTCGGGCCAGTGGTGCCAAAGAGCGTCCAGCATTTGTTGTTGTTTTAGTTTTATTTTGTTGCGGGGTTTGCCACAGCTTAACTCTGCAGTGCTGTCATTGTCTTCTCCTGTCAACTACTTAAAAGTTTCCTTTCTTGAATGCATATTCTTGTCATCTTGCACACCTGCACGTCCGCCGGTCTAACGCCCGGTCGCTTTCTCCACGCTTAAACCCCGGAAAAAGTTGCGAGCATGTTCACGTACGGAAACATCACGTACGTAAAATAATCCCCCGCCACATGCCCCGTAGATATTTATACTGGTTGTGAGTTTTTACGCGTTCTGCTTTTCAATACAACTATATGAGTATCATTCAACTGCGCCCACAATGTGCAAAAAATATCGGCTAACAATGTCTAGCCAAGGATCGGATCACTTCGTACAACTGTATCGAAGGAACTTGCTATCAGGACCACGGGAGATCAAATAATCGATCTCATTTCATCTTGTCTCACCCTAATTATGGCACTATATATTATGAACTGACCACTGTAGTGTGAAGAATATGATCTAATATCTTCTCACATTAATCCGCCCAGTCTCAACTTTGAAAGCAAATCGATCTCTACCTCGATCGAGGAAATGTCGCCGCTGTGCAATCCTCAGCAGGCAAACAAACACCTTGGACACTTGGGATTAGTGATCTGAGGAATGCTTCCAAATATATCCAAATACACGTGCATGGCTCAAGTATTCACTTCTCTCTCCACAAGGCACGAGCAAAATAAAAACAGGAAACACTAGATCAACACAGGCCAACACCTGCGGTTTTCTGGGCCCATTGGGCTTTCTCTCAAAGAAGGGCCGCCGAAATCGGGGCCAGCCGGTTGAAGCCACTACTGCATCTTCGATTTGGAGCCACGGCCGAAATCCGTTGGTCAAAGAATCCACCAAGGCTGACTTGTTTGATTGCCACGATGTTTCCAGTCTGTTGGTCCAGGGCCTTATATACCTTGCCGAAGCCGAAGACAGGCAAGAAGTGGGGTTCTGGCCAAGTTCATGCAAATCATCCCAGTACTAGACTTTACTTTACATGCTTGGAACCCACTATATACATGACCTTGTTCCACCTGTCACCTGCACTTTTGTCCTAGGTTGCCAGGTTGCTGTCATGAAGCAAGTTTGCAAGAGTAGCTGGCCCACATGAACAAGATCTGTTGTTGCTGAAAAGGTGAGAGAATGCAAAAATGACTCAAACACTTGCAGCCTCCTTCATGCCCAAATCACAACCCTGGAGCATCTACCTGCCTGCGGATTTGTCCTCTTCCAAAGCTCTAGGGTGGAGGGGCAAAATGGAACTTGCAGATTCAGGATAGAGACATCCATTGGTTGCAAACCGCATCACCTTCCTATCCACAGAACTATATATCAACATTGGTCAAACACGCAGCAGCGCTGAATCGACTTGCGACCACCTCCGGCCGGCTTTCTTCGCTCGCTCCGGGCCACGCATCCGAAGCCGCCCTTGCCGATGACCTCACCCAGCTGATATTCTCCGATGCGCATGCCCGTGGAGGACGAGCGCTTCTCGGTCTTCTCCATGAGAAAGAAAGGTCCATGGCGAGAAGCCCAGCGGCTCCGGATTGATGGGATTGATGTGGGTCAGGTCAGGGATGGTTTAAAGGGTGAGACAAAGGCCGAAGACCACCTTTGTACGAGCTTCTTAAGGCCTTTTGTGGCATGTCTACTAGGTTGCCTTGTGAGAAATGAGATGCAAAAGGTTGCATGCAAGTCGCATGCATGTCGCACCACCTATGTATGCACATGAATTGGAATCACATGGATGGCCCTTGCCAGCGGCCTGTTGTACTTGGCCCACTTTCAAGGCTTCACCTGGTGTAGATTTGCGGGTGTCCAGGCCTATATGGGTTCATATTCACGGAGTATACTTACAGGAGACTCTACTCTGTCCACACTAGCAAGCAATACAAGCTACGCAAGCTATCACTCTTCAACCATCATCCACTGTCAATGTGGCCAGGACTTACCCAAGCTGTCAACATGCACATCGATTCCATCTGCATGATCCGTGAATGCTCCCCGTCGTCCAATAGAGTCCAGCCCGTGGCAATCGCCCGTGAGACCGTGTGCACTGTGAGGACCACAGAATGAGGGACCATTCCGCCAATCAAGAGGAATCACAAGGAAATTGAACGGTATGATACCAAATGCTCTGCCAAGTGGCGAGACTTCGCGTGTGGAAGCTCCTGTGCAGTCACAAAACTGCCGCTTGTGCATCTAGATCTCCTACTTCAGTTGCACAGTAAGATCCGGGGACCATCCCACATCGTCTCATGACACAGTGGCCACATGCTGAAGCGGGTAGCTGGCTTGGAAGCGGACAAGTTGTATTCCTCTTTTCGCATCTAACTGGGCCTACTGGTCACTGGCTCATGGCAAAATGACCGGCAAAATGTTAGGCTGCTCCAATCAGAACTGACTCAAAGGCCGCGCGGGTCTCCCCGCGTCCAACGCTCCGGTTCCGCACTGGTTCCTGTCCTCTGGAATGGCCGTCTTGCCTCGGCTGTGTCGTTCCCTCAAGCCACCCGACCTCCGATGTGGACCTCGTGGCAAGATCAAGTTCAGCCCAGCTGCTTGGAACTGGCTCTGGCGCTTCCTCCTGGAAGCGGAGACCCCCAAAGGTGCTCTCTCAACAAAAAACACCGGACCGCTTCCCAGTCGAGGAAGGCCGCGCTCCCAGACTCATGTCACGTCCCTGCTTTTAGCCTTCGGCACCTAGTCATACCTGATACTGTTGCCAGACCTTTGGACCTGGATGGGCTAGCGGCTAGTCAACAGCGCAAGTCTCGGTGTTTTGTAATTGATGGACGGGACCAATTTCTGGTGCCCTTGTCATGGCCCAGGCAGTCCTCAGCTTTGAGGAAGGCGCCTTGGATAAAAGCATGAGGCCTTTTGGAGTGAGAGGAGAGGCAAGTTCTTTGGTCAACCCCCATTGTTGCCCTGCGAGCTTTGAGGTCGAACATGGTCGAATCTTCGGAGACTCCTCTGGGATTTGGGTCTTGGCATCCATGGCAATGAGCGATGCTCGGACGGATCGTTTCCCAGACCAGTGGTGGTCCGAACCGGCTCTGGTGCCATACACGTGACTGAAAGCAGGTCATCCGGGTGGGGCGAACCTCAACACAGGGTGCAATCCGGTCCACATCCGTTGAAATCAGCACACATTCAAACACATCCATCTGGTCACGGCTCTCCATTTCTCCAGAATTCGAATCAAGGTTGGATCCATGTGTGGAAGGTCTAGCATTGCCCATCTAACCATCCCATCTTCCATCCGTTTCATCCTCCATGCTTGCTGGACAGGTATCCCACCAACATCAATGCAGGCACTGCAATTGCCTTGCAATGGCTGACATGAAAATCCTGTTCATCCAAGATGCTCTCCAGCACGATGCTTGGTGCGGCCTCCTGCATTGGGACTTTAATGACCTGGCTTCACGCCTGGTCTTGAGACCACATTAGAATACTTTGTAATACATAGCAATACGACTAATACATCGCAGCTGTTGGACACTGCAACTTCCAGATCAGCTGCACCCACCAAGGTCGCCCCCGTCCTGCGGCGCCTGCGGCCTGGACGCCACACCGACCCCTGGCCGTGACCCGCTGGGCGTGACCCGAAGGCCAGAAAAACGTAGAACAGCGCAGGTTTGTTGCTTCCTTCATTCGAATTGTCCAACTGCTGTGGACATCCATTCTCAGCACAGCTGCGGAGAAGTGAAAGCCAAGACACGGGGCAAGGAACGCAAGGGAGATGGCTCCTGCCGAATCCGCAGGATGCACAACCCGCTGAAACAGTTGAACACAACCCAGCGGCGCGTCGGCGTCTGCAATAAGAAACGGTTGGACAAGAAGCTGGCTACAGTAACAAATCAAAATCAACCACCTCAAGGTCAATAGCGCCAGGCCGATAGGCAATCAACCCCGAAATCATATGTCTGGTTGAAAGAATCCGCCAGTTTCTGATGTCTCAGATCGCGATCTCTACCTCAAATTACTTGGTTTTCACGCTCGGAAGCAAAACAACTTGAGTTCTGACCCAAGCGACCATTCTTGCGTCCTCCACCGGACTGGAGGGTCCCAAACGTTGTGGTTTGAACCCGCCAGGGCCTCAAAGGAAGATCGCCATGATTGTGATGGATTGGGAACGTGACGGTGGTGAGCAGTGGAGCATGGACGGTGGTTCTTGGTGTCCCTCTCTCTCTGCAAAGTTTTTAGTCTTGAGCAACGCCGTGCTAGTGGGGTATGCAAACATGCCCCAATCAAGAACACACTTAGAACAAACACGGCCAGTCTTCTTTTGGCTGCAGGCTATACCACTTGTTCTGGACGAACATTTTTTCGCTGTGCAGTTTTAAACATGGTGGCCTTGCATATTGTCAGTATTGTCAGTACAGGAAAGAAGGCTGGCACAGAATACTTATGACAGTAGACAGTAGAAACAAGGGCATTGCTACTAGTAACAAGTGCCTTACTAGTAGTAACAAAAAGCTATTAGTAACAAGTGCCTTACTACTAGTAACAATAAGACTCATCACCCGGTTCTTCGGTCACATGATTCCTTTGCTAGTAATTACAATTCTAATTAAACTATTTTGTTACTAGTAGTAAGGCACTTGTTTCTAATAGCTTCTTGTTACTACAAGTAAGGCACTTGTTTCTAATGGCTTCTTGTTACTACTAGTAAGGCACTTGTTTCTAATAGCTTCTTGT